ACTCCACTGCCTGCTGTCCCTCCCTCCACGCTGCACCACACAACCGCTAGTTCGGCCCGCACTGGCACACTGCCGATGTCTGTCCCTCCCCACGCGTCGCACACACAACGCTAGCTGCCCGCAATACCACTACTGCCTGCTGCCTCCTACGCTGCACCACACACGCTAGTCCGCCTGCGACTCACACTCGCTGCTGTCCCTCCCCACGGCTGCACCAACAACGCTAGACCGCCCGCATCACACTGTGCTGTCCCTCCACCGCCTGCACACACCAACGCTTAGTCTCTCGCGCACTCACACTGCCTGCGTGTCACTCCCCACGTGCACCACACAACGCTAGACCGCCCGCTCACACTGTCTGCTGTCCCTTGCCCCACGCTGCATCCACCACAACGCTAGCCCGGCCCGCACTCACACTGCCTGCCCTGCTGTCCACTACCCACGGGTTGCGCGATATCTGCCGGTGGAAAAAGAGACTGTCCGCTTGAGCTGGCTGCGCGTTCTCGCTCGCCGAGCGAATGAGACGCTGCGAGCCTCGTGAAGTGGTAGCCGGCAATCGACTTTGGCCGCCGCCGCATTCCTGTCCAGCAGAGGGCGCGATCGACAACTTCCGGCTCTGACAAGGCGGAAATGAGAATGCGATGTGGACGCGGGAATTGCAGTGGCGAGAGACGTCAAGAGGAAATTATTGTTATGCCACTGTGCATCCAATGTGACCGCAATAGCAGCACGAAAGCCTACTCAGTCGCGCCTCACACTGTATTCACACTTCCACCGCCCTGCTCGTAACGCGCTTGAGTCCGCCACGCGCTCAACTAAGCCTTACTAGTAAACTCCGGGGAAAATCGCGAAATCTAAACTCAATTACAAATGAGCAGTGGTAATCACGCAGCACAACCGCACTGCTCTGCCAGCCACTTGTACTCGCACCTCCACCCACACTCAGCACCCCCCCCGACACCCCAACCTCACCTCCTACCCCATTCCCCAACCGACCCACCCTCCGACCACCCCACCCCACACCATACCCACACCTCACTCACACCCAGACCACCCACCCTCACACCCCCCCCCCCCGACCACCAACCTCGACCATCCCACCCATCACCCAACCGCCCTCACAACCCCACTACCCGACTACCCCACGCCTCACCATCTTCTACCCCATCACGCCCAGCTGCCCGCACCCCCCGAACCACCACCAAAACCACCTCACCCTAACCATCACCCCACTACCCACCCCACCACCCCCACCTTCACACCCCACCCGCCCCACCACACCGCCACCTCGTCCCACCCACCCCACCCCTCCCCACCCCGACCACCTCGACCACCCACCAACCACACCCACATCTCCACCCCAGACCCAAACGCCAGGTCTGCACGAACCAGGCAGTAAAACAACTACCACGCGGGCAGGCGATAGCGATGTCGATCTACACTCAACTCCGAAATCGCCTCCCTGAGGCTCAAAACAGCTCCCGTAAAATTTTTGAGGACAGCTATTTTTCCCACAGACTTGAAAAAGAAAATTTTTTCTCTGGTACGAACTTACCATCAAAGTCGTACATTACGGCACCGTTGGGCTTCGGCGTGGTGACGCCGGCGTAGCGCGTCGCCGTGTTGGAGACAATGGACGAAGCGTCACCGTCGCCCAGACGCGCGGCGGATGCTGTCAGCTCATCCACCGATGCCGTCTTTCTCAGCGCGTAGTTAGCCTGTCTCGCTCCTGCAGCCAGACAGTGCGAGGGTCAACCAAGGTCATTACTGAGGTCAACCAAGGTCAACAATAAGGTCAACCAAGGTTAACAATGAGGTCATTGCTGAGGTCAACCAATGTCAACATTTAAGTCATCAATAAGGTCAACTAATGTCAACAATGAGGTCATTGCTGAGATCAACCCAGGTCAACATTTAAGTCATCAATGAGGTCAACCAAGGACAACCAAGGACAACAATAAGGTCAACTAAGGTCAACAATAAGGTCATCACTGAGGTCGACCAAGGACAACAATAAGGTCAACCAATGTCAACAATACGGTTAACTAAGGTCAAAAATGAAGTAATCACTGAGGTCGACCAAGGTCAACAATGAGGTCATTGCTGAGATCAACCCAGGTCAACAATGAAGTCATTGCTGAGGTCAACCAACGTCAACAACGAGGTCAACCCAGGTCAACAATGAAGTCATCAATTAGGGTCAATGTTGCAGTTGACATAAATGTTAAATGCAAGGTGGAAACCGGTTAACCAATATAAAACCTAAGGTCTTGTGAGTTTATAACTCGGTGTTTTCACTTCAGATATATATACCTACTTGCTACTTTCACGATGGGGAGAGTAAGATGCAGAACTAATGCGATGATAACGTTTACATAGTAACGGGTATATGATGGCATATTACGAATAATTGCTCCTGATGAATGAAAACTGCAGCACATTTATAAATCCCTTTCCTACAGTATTACGATGCACAATAAAATTCATGCATTTATGCATAGCCTCAGTCTAGCACTCGCCAGTGGGATTACATTTACCTTGGCTACATCCGCAGTCGTCTGAATGCGGTGACGTCACCGGTAACATCCCATTTTGCCTACACCCATTTTGCCTACATCCCATTTTGCCTACATCCCATTTCGCCTACACCCATTTTGCCTACATCCCATTTTGCCTACATCCCATTTCGCCTACACCCATTTCGCCTACATCCCATTTCGCCTACATCCCATTTCGCCTACA